ATAGATTAATTTAGCTAAGTTATTTAAATTCCTTCGTTTTGGCAAGGGTCAGCACTTTACCTGTAGACATCGTTGTCATACAAGTTCGTCTTTCATCAAACATGTAAAGGGATAAGCGCGGTATAAGCAAACAAATGACATTGATAATTGGCAAGTAAATGATCACACGAAAGAGTTTATTTCTGCGTGTATTCATTTTGCGGACAAGCAAATTAAGAAGCGATCAAAGCGAATATAGTTAAGCGATTTATTGATTTGTTTGACATTTTATTAATGTCTCTGTAATTATCATAAATAAATATCAATTGTAACAAACGGCAATTCTGCTCTCCCCTCAATAACTTTAAGCCACTCTGCAAAATATTCTGCGCGATGTGTATAATAAAAGCGTCAAACTATCGCGTTCCTAAATAGGCTCCGTGACGCGCGATCCCTTTCGTTACTCCGCATAAGAAAATAGTTGTGTTATTATTCATTGTGTAAATATGTAATTCAAATGTAACAAAATGCATTCCTTAAATATTACAGAATAATTCGACCGCTCAGTACGTCCGTCCCGGACTGCACTGACGGCACACTCTACGATGTTCAGTATGCCTGAGGTATAATTAATAATCGGTTGTGAGTCGTGACTGTATCGCAAATATTCGGAAGAAAATAAATTACGAGCAAAGACCATTCTCACACTTGTCTTTAACTTATCGCAGTCTCTCAACTTTCCTTCGCTCCGTCCCTTGCATTATCCAACTATTTTCCAGAAACAGCTTTCAAGGTAACACGAAAAATTTTCTGTTGGGGTGTAACAACTTTTATGTAAAAGCGACAATACTTTTGTACAGAATTCACATCCCAGTCGTAAGTTTCTTTGAACATACGTTTGTCTATTTGTTAAGTCACATACAGGGTTGGGAAAGTTACTTTATAAAAGTAGCTAGTTACAGTTACAGTTTCTTCGCTAACAATGTAACTAGTTACAGTTACAAGTTACCAATTCTGAAAAGTAACGCGTTACAGTTACAGTTACTCGAAAAGTAATGAATCGTTACTTTGCAGTTACTCCCTTGCAATAGAAATAAAAATATCGAATCTGCATCTGAATTATAAAGCGGCAATAAAGGCGTTTATGCGCAAATGCAAGGCCTAATGCGATCTGTGGAAGTTGAAAAAATATATAAAGTAACTATTAATGTAACTATTAAATTAGTTACTAGTTATCGAAAAAATGTAACTGAGTTAAGTTACAGTTACAGATGTAGAGAAAGTAACGAAGTTAAGTTAGAGTTACCAAAAAGAAGTAACTGTAACTGTAACTTCGTTACAAGTAACGAGTTACTTCCCAACCCTGGTCACATATAACAAATGCTTATTATTCATTAATTCGTTTTCATCTGTGCATCGTGCGACGATTGCATACTCATTGTCAGCAACGAGCTGTTTGTGATCTTCGTCAACAGTTCTTTAGCAGACACGTGTGTATTGTAATATGTACATCCGGATGATATCTCGTGACTACTTGCATTAATATAATAAAAAGCGATCCCTGTGCGCGCATACTTGTATAATGAAGTATTCATTACTCCGCGGGCAGAGATAATTTTTCATAGATATACACACATATATGATAATATCAAAGGCCAGAGGGCGGGACTCGTTTGCACACAACTGCGTTCTTTATAATTGCTCGTAATTGCTCTTAGGCACAAGTGCACTCTTTCGTTCACCGACAAGGGTGGATCACCGACGTATAAACTGCACGAAAACAAGCGGATACAGCGAGAGAAGACAGTGAGTTGTGTCGATGTCCGACGTGACACAGTTATTAATAATTCTAGCATAGACCTAAAAATACAGCACGTTGCTTAATATACGTACTTACGCATTCAACTAGTGAAAGTGTCGAGAAAGAAACACGGCAAGAAATATACATAGGAACATAAGCAAGTTTTCGGTTGAATGTCTGTAAAATATTGAATACCGTCAAGAAGGACGGGAAAAATCGAATTAACGACTTCGCCCGACAATAAATCTGAGAAACAGTTTTCCGGGCGTAGTGGCGCAGACGCGAAAATCGGCGAGAAATTGCGGGGAAGATGCGACTACCTCGCTTCTGAATGTTACCCCGGTCTGATTTTGAACATCGCAGATGTTCGAGTTGAAAACTAAAAACAAAGATATTTTGCCAGAGTAAATCAAGGAATTTCGGGCAAAAGTGACAGATCTGGCGAGATGAAGCTATTTGCGCGTCCTAAATACTTTTCCGAGGCTATAGCACCGGTGACAACTTTCAACTGTATTTTAGGACTTCGTGCTTTCGAATATCCTCGTGGCCATCCAAGACCCATACTCAGCCTGATCTATTTGTCATTTGTTTACATCATATATTGTAGCGGCGAGTTTCTTATGGGAACAAAATACTATTCAAATTTGAATCTGATGAAGCTAGAATATGTCCTGTACCGAATAATGATGTATGTCATTATTGTGTCAGTGTTATTGAAGATGATATTAGGTTGGTGGCATACGAAGGTGGGTGAATAGAGAATAATGTACGGTATATTATAGATTGATAGTACACCATAGAATACAATTTTACAATGAAGCTAGGCGTTTTTATATTATAATATTCCCTATTTATAAATTGACCTTTGTAGAAATTCAAGGCTTGTCACAAAAGAATTTTCGAAATCGATGCAACATTACGACAGCTGGGATTGACGATGAATTATACTGGATTGTATTTCATGACGATCGGCACCATAATTGTCTGGATCACAGTCGTCTTCATAATGTGCACAGTAGTTTTCATTCACTTGCAGATTAACACGGATGCACTTACTGCAATTTACCTTGGATTGATATATACGTTTTCAATGTCTGTCAACTCTATCAATTTCTTCGAATTCTACATATTTGCAAGGTAATGTAAATCAATTCTTTAAATAATCCCCAAATTTGTGCACTTATTGAATCTATCGTCACTTAATCAGTCAGTTAATATACATACAAAAATATTATTAGATACTATTGTATTACATAGAATAATACGTATATTGCACATAAGATTAACATTCAAATTATATCACTTGTTTCGGTAATTTCGTTTTGCAAAGATATGAAAAACTCTATGAAAAACTATCATATATTTACGACAGATTTTTTTAAAAACGTATAATATTTAATATGCCATTACACAATGGTGCAGATGCTTGAAAACAAAATTTGGATTGATTAATCAACTCTTGCGCGAGAGCTTAACAGATTCGTCAGTGGAAGAGATGAAATTGGGCATCTTCGAAATGAAAGATTTTACCGAAATCATGGTTGCCGACCACCGAAAGCAAGTTGCCGCCACAAAGATATTTCGGAGGCGTCTGCAGGTGCAGTCTCGAATAATAAATATTCTATATTAGAAAAGCAAGAGCCAGTATCTCATAATTTTATTTTCTACGCCAGAACAAAAACCAACTTGGAAATGCACTCCAGAATAAATCTCCACCAAGTCACAATTCGGCGATGACAACATGTCAGAAACGTACATATCTATTACAAATAATTAAGTGAGTACAGCCAATTATTCGTAACGTCGTTATGAAGTAAATTCTACAAAATAAAATGTAGAAACGTACATATCTATTACAAATAATTAAGTGAGTACAGCCAATTATTCATAACGTTGTTATGAAGTAAATTCTACAAAATTAAATGTAGAATCTTGACATCTTTTATAAGTAAAAATTGATTCAAATTTTACCGTATTCAAAATGGCTAATTTAATGCGCACAATACTTATAACATTTAAGTTAGATTTCTTCAAAACTTATTGAGAAACAAACACGGCCATTAATTAAAAATATGTTTATTATCTTTGAGTGTTTTTAAGACAGGTGCACCTGGAGTTGTGTAAAATATCAAAAATTGTATGCGCTGTTCTTGGAGTACAGACAGCTTGGGAAATAGGACTAATTATTGCGTTTCTCACCGGATCTCTTTATAATTTATATATTCGATACGTTATGAACCAACACCACGTTGTAGGCGTGATAGAAGATACATTTCTCACGATGTCAATGTGTTTTATTCAAATTATAAAAGCCATTTTCTTGAATCGCATTTGCAAGCATACGACCGATGAGGTAATTTGTTTCATTCATCGTCATCTAATTAACAAGTTTTATAAGACAGTTCGTACAAAATGTTTACTTATAGGGAAACAGAACCATCGAAATTATCCATGAGATTTATGGGTGCGACGCAGATATTGATATGCAGGAAGAGGTATTGTTTGTTACAATATGTTAACATAATTGCTGTCATGTTGTTGTATTTTGTTATCGCTCGTTATTGTTTCAGATTCAACAATTTGGTATTCAAATTTTACAAAGTCCGGTAACATTCTCCGCTTTTGGTCTTACCCTGAATAATCGAATCTTCAGCATGGTTTGTGCCAAATTGTTACGTATAGATGATTGGCTTTATATCAACGATTCTCCAATAAAATGATAAAATTTATGCCATTTATTTATTAAAAAGATTTAATAATACCTTTTTCACAATTTTTCACCAATTTTTTCCAGTTTTATAAATCACGTAGAAATTATTTTTATAATTCAATCCCGATCTTATCGCATTATATTTATCCTTTTTTTTATTTGTAGATATTGAAAACTGTGACGACCTACTTGGTTATCATGATACAAGTGAGCAATACGCTGGAATCAAACAAGTCTATAAAATATTCACATTTAGAAGGATCGTAGAGAGTTGTATATTATTAAATAATTTATTAATTACGACCTTGTCAACAAGCTACCATCTTGTTCTCGATTTCCCTACGGCTCTCTTATCTTCGGAAAATCCCTCAAACTTTTCGGGAAATTGTTCCCTCTTGCATTCGCTGCATATGTCCCGTCCGTACAATGTGTTATAATTTTTATTTAATTAACCCGTATATTTTCTTTCTTTTGGCAAAGATCAATACTTTATAGGCAATGTTATCACGTGATTTTGTCCATCATCAAATATGTAAAGAAATAGACGGCACAAAGCGGATGAGTGATAATAATAATACAAGTAAATAATCACGTGAAAGTGCTTATTTATGTGTGTGCTCATTTCGCGGACAGGCCGATTAAAAAGAAAACGATCAAGTAATTTAGTAATTCGTTTGCTGTTTTATCACATCTTTTTTATAATTGTGTCAATTTTACAAATAAATATCAATTAAAAAGGAAGAATTTTACTCTTTTCTCAATAACTTTATAGCACACTGCAAATTTCTTCAAATTCTACGTAGTGCGTGTAATTAAAAGCGTAATACACCACTTACCTACGACTAGGTATAAACAAAACGGTTCCTAAATATTGCAGAGAAATTTGACTGTACAGTACGCGCGCCCTGATCGATTGACACACTCTGAGGTGTTTAATATGCATGACGTATAATTAATACTCGACTGTGAGTCGAGATTGCATTGCATATTTGGCAAGAAATAAATAAAGAGCAAAGATCATTTGCATGTTTGTTTTTAATTTATCCTAGGCTTTTCTTCAGTCCTCTTTCGCATTATTCAATTATTTTCCAGGCATAACTCAAGTTAGCGTAAAAAACTCATCGCTGGGCGGAACATACTAATTTTTACGTAAAAGTTGCACTGTTTTTTTTTAGCAAAACAGTATATTCTGGCAGTCTGTTACTCGGATATATATTTGGATTTGTAAAGCCAATGAGAACACTAACGTCTAATTGACGTCGAATAGGCGTCAATGGAGTCGAAACCGCGTCCCAATCGTCAGTTTTTGAAAATAGTTAAGTTTTGGAGCTTTATTTTTTGTATTAAATTACTGCGTTTATCGTTCTGAATACTTTTAACATTTTATGGGAGAGAACTGCCAAATTAACCTATTTATTACAAAATTAAACACAAATTACTATTGATACAAAATTTAATACAAAAATTAAGTTCTAAAATTTTAATTATTGACGTCTATTCGACGTTGATTCGACCCTAGTGTTCTCGCTGGGTGTATGTACAACAAAGTGTATACCCAGGGTTGGGAAAGTTACTTTATAAAAGTAACTAGTTACAGTTACAGTTTTTTCGCTAACAATGTAACTAGTTGCAGTTACAAGTTACCAATTCTGAAGAGTAACGCGTTACAGTTACAGTTACTCGAAAAGTAACGAATCGTTACTTTGTAGTTACTCCCTTGCAATAGAAATAAAAATATCGAATCTGCATCTGAATTGTAAAGCGGCAATAAAGGCGTTTATGCGCAAATGCAAGGCCTAATGCGATCTGTGGAGGTTGAAAAAATATATAAAGTAATTATTAATGTAACTATTAAATTAGTTACTAGTTATCGAAAAAATGTAACTGAGTTAAGTTACAGTTACATATGTAGAGAAAGTAACGAAGTTAAGTTAGAGTTACCAAAAAGAAGTAACTGTAACTGTAACTTCGTTACAAGTAACGAGTTACTTCCCAACCCTGTGCATACCGGTCCATTGGTTCATCTTCATTTACATTTCCCTTGTGTCTATATACCCAGCGGGCCATGCGTGATCTTTTGCCAGCAATTATCTTCTTTCATCACGTACGCGTGTGTTATCGTAGATCCCGAACGGTATCTTACGATCTTACGCTACTCGTATTGAAGCAATAATATAAACGATCCCCTGCGCGGGCAAGAAATTACTCATTGCTTCAAGAGCAGAGTTGACTCTTTATAGATATATGTGATAGCATCAAAGGCCATCGGGCAGGGCACGTTTGCGAACATATATTTAACGCACCCGCGTTCTTCATAACAATTTCTTATGAGCTCAAATACAATTCTTCGTTCATCAACAAAGGTGGATCATCGACTTAACGACTGTAGGAAAACAAGTGAGAGAAAACGGTGAATCGTGTCGGTGTCCGACTTGACAAAATTATCAATCATTCTTGTATGAATAGTACTGGTAAATAGTACGTAACGTAATATCTACATGTTAATCTAGTGTCGAGTATCGAGAGAGAAAAGAGGCAAGTGTGACCAATGCTGAAATTAATGCAGCAAACTTGTAAGTAACATTGAAATACATGAGCAATTTATTGGTCGAATGTCTGTAAAATATTCGGCAGCGTCAAGAAAGACGCGAAAATCAGTTAACAATTTCGTCCAAGCGATCTACGAAACAATTCTACCCTCACGCAGTGTCACTGCGAAAGACACGAAAATCGAAAAAAAAAAATTGCGAGGAAGATACTACTTCGCTTTTGAATATTACACCTGATTTTGAGCATCTGAAACGTTTGATCAGTTGAAAATTAAAAACGAAGATATTTCGTTCACGTGAATGACCATTGAGAAATATCCGGCGAAACACAGAGATCCGACGCGATGAAGCTATTTGCGCGTCCTAAGTACTTTTTCGAAGCAACAGCATTGGTGACAACTATCAGCCATATATCTGGACTTCGTGTTTTTGAATATCCTCGTGGTCATCCAAGACCTATACTCAGCCTGACCTATCTCTTGTTCCTTTACATTGTATTTTGCAATGGCTGGTTGCGCGTGCATGGAAAATACTACGCAAACGTTAGACTGATGAAGCTGGAGTACGTCCTGTACCAATTATTAAAGTACGTTGTTATTGTATCCGTGATAATGAAGATGTTGCTAGGCTGGTGGCATACGAAGGTAAGCGAATAAAATAATGTACGGTTAATTACAGGTTTACTGCGCCGAGTTTGTGGTACACGAACAGTATAATACGATTTCAGAATGAAATTATGCGTCTAAATAAATTATAAGTGTTTCATAATGAATTGACGTTTCTAGAAATTTAAAATTTGCCACAAAAAGATCTCCGAGATCGACGCAACGTTGCGACAGCTGGGACTGACAGTGAATTATGACAAAATATATTTCGCGACGATTGGAACCATGACCGTTTGGATTACATTCATCTTCACTATGTGCACCGTGGTTTTCTTTCACTTGCGGATCAGCACCGATGTATTCACTTCAATTTATCTTATATTGGTGGGTACGTATTCGTATACTGTCAACTCTATTAATGTCTTCGAATTCTGCATGTTTGCAAGGTACGTAAATTGACTCTTAAATAATTTATAAATTTATGTACTCACTATATGTATGCAATAATTAATATATGAAAATATATTGTGATATATGTGAACAATTGATAGTCGCTATTGTATTTCTTCACGTAACTTATTACACATAACAGTAACATTAAAATTATATTAATTTGAAATAAAATTATATAATTCTGTTCTGTTCAATTTTGTTGTATATTATTAAAATATATCTATACCAATGTTATACTGATTTATTAATTCGTATTGATACGAGAAACAATTATAGAATTATGCTAGATTCCTTACGGAAAACACACTCAAGTTGTGAGTGGTAACGCTCGATTGTCTGAATTTACTCTCAAATTTGGGCGTAAACACCAGTGTAAATATTTAAATCTGGGTGTTTACGCCCAAATTTGAGAGTAAATTCAAATAATCGAGTGTTAGCACTCAAAACTTGAGTGTCTTTTTTCGTAAGAGATATAAAATTTTACTAGATATTCAATTTTAAGAATATTATAATATTTAATGTGCTGTTATACAATGCAGATGCTTACGAACAAAATTTGGATTGGTCAACCAATTCTTGCACGAGATATTAACAGACCTATCAACGAAAAAGATGAAATTAGACACTTTAGAAGTGAGAGATTATGCTAAAATCATAGATGTCGAGCAACGAAAGCAAGTTCTTTCGAGGAAGATGATATTTCAATTGCATCAGCGGATACAATCGCGAATAAACGTTCCTATATCAGAGAAGGAAGATTCAATCGTACCTCAGAGTGAATCTCAATTTCCATCTCACGTCACAAAACAATTTCAAAATGTACTCGAGAGTCGTTTTAGAAGACACAATTCCACAATGACAAATCGTCAGAAACGTAAATGTCTATTACAAGTAATCAAGTGAGTACAGGCCAGTATTAAATACATCATTACGAAGTAAACTCTAAAATTAATAAACCAATCCAACAATTTTGTCAAGGTATTCCTAATGTGTGATTTCAGGCAAACGCTTAAAACATTTTTAAAAATTTTCTTAAGAAACAAATAAGGATTTAAATAAAAATATTTCTGATTATTTTTGTGCTTTTAAGACAGGTGCACCTGGAGCTGTGTAAAGTATCAAAAATAATATGCACTATTTACGGAGTACAAATAGCTTGGGAGATAGGAGTAACTATCATGGGTCTCACTGCATCTCTATATAATTTGTATGTTCGATACATTATAAACGGATACAAAGTCGCAGGTTTGGTAGGAGAAACATTTGTAACGTTGATGTTATGTTCTTTGCATATTGTAAGAGCTGTTCTTTTGAGTCGCGTTTGCAAAAATGCAGCCGATGAGGTAATTCTTCTCTATCATCATCTAAAAGTTCTTGCATAAAATAGCTTGTATACATAACATTTATTTGTAGGGAAATAGAACCATGGAAATTATTCACACTTTTTATGGTTGCAACTCGGATAGTGATATGCAGGAGGAGGTTTATTTGTTTATAATACATTAGCACAATTAATCGCCGTTGTGTTAATGCATTATATAATTATATCGCCCGCATTTGTTTCAGATTCAACAGTTTGGTATTCAAATTTTGCAATATCCGATGAGATTCTTAACGTTTGGTCTTACTCTGGACAATCGTATCTTAAGCATGGTATGTGTCAAATTGTTATACGTAGAGATAATTGTCGTTGTAACTGTCATTTTATTGTCAAATAAAACAACAAAGTTTATTTAATTATGAAGATACGGCAATGTCCTTTTCACGTTTTTATAACTAGTGTAGAAATTGTTTTCTCAATTCGAGTCCGATCACATTACAGAGCATCATCTTTTCTTATTACAGATTTTGAAAACTGTTACAATATACTTGGTTATTATGGTGCAAATGAGCAATACGCTGGAATCGAATGAGGCTATAAAACATTCACGTTTGTAGAACGCGTCTTGAAAGTATAAATTTAAAGTATTGGTAATATACTTTACACTAATTATATTTATATGCTAATAAAAACTTAATAAACGCATAACAACTTTTATCTTGCATATTCAACATTTTTCATCCGAATGCATATTCAATATTACATTTGTCTAATTTCTACAACTAATGTTGTAAAATTTAAAATAAATACAACAAAATTACAATGTAATGATTTTAATAATTATTTTAGTGCAATTTAATGCATTTTATTAAAAATATATGTTTTAATTATAGAGTTTTTTTTATTAAAAGTATATTTTATTATAAATATATTTTATTATAAGTATTTTACCTAAAATGATGGCAAATATAATTATATTTAATAGTAATACATTGCAGTTATAATTGTATCTATCTTTAATTATCGAGTTATGTCCACCTGTTCATGCCTTCCCGAATCCCTGCCTACCTACCCGTATTCCGCTGTATAGTCCTATCCATTTTCCTAGCTATCCGCGTTTAAACGTTTTATTAATAAACCTACAAGTCTTTCGTTAAAACCGCGACGCGATTTATAAGAGGTCCGATTTGGGGCGATACGCGCGCGATTTAATAGAGATTTAATAGGGGTCTTTTTAATTTTGCACATATGCAAGAATATGTAAAGATAAGAATATCACCCAACCGAATTTTGGCAAATGAGAAGAAATCAACTTATATTTCGTACACCTTACTAACATACTCCATCAAAGTGGCCAATATTAACCACTTATCTCGTCGTATTTAGTCTTCCCTCGTCGGGCCAGATTGGACCTACCATTCGTTGTTCCTGGCCATAAGTCTGGTCATTTTGACCAGAGATCAGGAAGGAAGAAAACTCCTTCCATAGTCGGTTTATTATCGTCACCGACAGATATTTCGTACGGTCCGAACTATAGCATCGAAATGCACGACCACGAGAAGTTAATTAAAGAAGAAAATTAATTAAAAAAATTTGCTGTATGAAACTAATCAAATATATGTTTATTTCCGTTATTTATTCGAGAATAGATAATGACTGTCTCATCGTGACTCAATTTTTAAATTCAAAAATATATGTATACAGAAAAAAAACAATTTACTTCGCGTTATATTTATTTTAATTAATTACATTCCGCGACAAATTATAATTTATAATATAGATGAAAATTAAACAATTAATAATTTATTCAAAGTTTGTTAAAAAAGTGAACGCGAAGACCGACCGCGAAAATACAAAGATGCATGTAGCTACGCATGTATTCATGCGAGACGCATCTTGAAAGTGTATCGCGAGATACACATACAGGATAAGTGACGTGAGACCCAGAGAAAAGAAACTTTCCGTTCGATATACAGACCGACAATTGAATATTCTAGTGATCAATAATCTCAAATAATGTATCAAAATAATATAAAGTTTCAGCATTTCTGGACAAAATAATAGAATCTCACGTCACATTATTTAATTTGTACATAAATTTGTTCATAAAAAATGGATAGGCTACAAGAGATTAGCTCGACGAATACATCGAGAATATTCGTCATATTTTACGTGAAAATGTGTGATGTGCTGCTATGGAGCACCCAACCCTTCAACAGTAAAAATCGCGATCACTCCCTTTCGATAGATGAAATGTATTGAAATAAACATGAAATTATTGTAGCCAATCCATTTTACGGCAACGAATCTAGGAGATATACTAATCTACGATCTACCAAATACAATCTACGATCTACGAAATGTAGATTCGTTGCCTTGTCGAAAAAAAGTTTTGGACTTACCACCCGACGCACAGCAGCGGAGTGAGCCATGTTGAATCTGTAACAAACAAATGTAGAATTTATTAAAGCAGTTCAAGAAAATATACATTGTAAAATATAAGTATTTCTTATCAAACGTTTTATTTGGTTGGATGTTTCAACGATTAATGCGCGAAAGATGTTCCGCAAAAGATCTTCACGAGAATAAACTTTTATACACTGAAAAA